GCCGCTCCTGGGCAAGTGGGTGAAACCGCACCCTGACGAGCTGCAGAGGGGATGAAAGGCGAGTCTGTGTGCTGAATGGGACAGTGCCACCAGAAACCGTGGGCAGCCCTTCGCCATGCATGTGAAATGAGGCTGTTACATAACTGTGGCTTCAACAATAGCCTGCCATGGACCAGTCAGTGTGCTCAAGACGCAGGAAAGAAAAGGTGCTGGGCACAAGCCAGAGTCTGGATAAAGAGCCCTTTGGAAAATCATCACCCCCCTCACTTACTCTTGTTTTGCTTGGTCAGTGAAATATTAATCCCAGACTGTGCAGATCAAGACCTCAATGGACTCGCGCCAACATTATGCCAGAGGTTTCTAATTGGGCAACAGGGGTTACTAAATGGTACCAAGAGTTCGGCTGCTCCCTCAGGGGGGTTTCGGGGCACAACGGCTGGGATGATCGGGATGATGAGGGAGCCAGTGTCGGGTGTGAAAAGGCCAGGTCTGCCGAGCGAGGGAGGGAACGCCAGGGAGGTCTGCGATTTGCCTCGCGGAGAGCTTCTGAGACCACAGAGTCTAAAAACCTTAACTACAAGGAGGTCGTGCCTGCATCACCATGTGTCTTGAGATTTATGCAGCAAAAACGAATGTGTTTTAAACGACTCTGTCAGTGTCCAGAGGAGGCCATTCTGCCCAACCTAGTTTGTTTGGAAGTAAGTGACTCAGTGAGTTGATGCTCTCAACAGCAGCTGTTTTGTGCAAGAAACTAGGGTACTGGTTCCAACCACATTGCTAGGCAGCTTGTTCCACACTCCCACCACCCTTTGGCTGATGAAGTGCCTCTTGATCATAATATAACATCCCAATGGTGAAATGTGAGACATATGTTGCCAGAAATGATAATAATAATAATAATTGCTTACACTTATATAGCGCTTTTCTGGACACTCCACTCAAAGCGCTTTACAGGTAATGGGGATCCCCTCCACCACCACCAATGTGCAGCCCCACCTGGATGATGCGACAGCAGCCATAGTGCGCCAGAACACGCACCACACATCAGCTCTCAGTGGGGAGGAGAGCAGAGTATTGAAGCCAATTCATAGATAGCAAAGCTTTGTCCTAAAGTCTTTCAGACACAAAATAAAAGTAGGTACATTCGATGTAACTTGGATTCAAGTTAGAGCAGCATTTAATAGAACAAATAATAAAAACAGATTTCTTATCAAAAACACAACCTCGGAACTCAAGTGTAAGTCTCCCTGTAGGGGCAGGAGTTAGCTGGCAGGGAGACGGGTCTCCTCAACACTGCGGCCTCTCTTTCCTTGGGCTTCTGCAAGCTTTGCAAAGTTGAGCCTTTATTAAAAATAAACTATTCTTCCCCCATCGTAAAAAGCACGTGACAAACTAGTAGAGGCTTGCCCTCATTCTGAGCCAATCCAAAGTGACTGGTCGGGATGCGTCAGCCAACCAGAAATCAAGAATTGGGGGGGGGGGCTTGGTACTGGGGGGTCCTTCTGAAATTGGAAGCCTCAGATGATGTCACTGGACTGAGGCGGCAATAAGAAGAAAACAATCTTGCTCACGTACCCTGAAACTCTCGAGAGACAGGATCTGCAGGCTGCCGGGATGACATACGATACCCAAGCTGTATTTCATGTTCCCCGGATGCATTTATTTATCTCCTTATTCTTAGAAGTGCACTCCCAATAAAACTATTAAGGAGATGCTCGCTATAAACAAAGGTGCTGAAAGAGGTTTCCAGCGCAGGCCTGGAAGACCTGTGTGTCTGGGAGCAGCCGACTGCTGTCCGATTGATCCCTGCCTCTGGGACGGTACTAATAACAGCTGCTGTGCTGCAGTTGTCGGGACAGGAGAAACCCCCTGCGATCTCCCCCCGCCACGCAGGTCAGGGAGTGCAGCCAGGCCGCTGTTCCACGGGGTCTTCACGCCTGATCCCTCCTCCTCCGGGAAGAGCAGTAAGCGATCTGACAGGGTCAGATTTCCTCACCACATCCAGTACACAAACACAAGCGGACACTAGCTGCCTGGTAACCAGTTCACTAGTCTGGGCCAGATCAATCCGGACTGTTCAGCAAAAGCAAACTGTCACACGATTGCATTCATCGGTCAATAACAAATACACCATGGCATGCCTTGCTCCTTTCGTGCAGTTTGAGGCCCTTCACGTGCACAGCTACGGATGGGTATTTATACTATTAAATATTCCTGAACAAGGACACATCAGGAGAACGTGTGCTTCTAGTCACTAACCTGCAGAATCAAGCTGAATACGGGGACAGTGGTTCCCAGCCCTGGTCCTGGAGGAACGTCTGGTTTTTGCCCCATCTGTGTTTTAATCCCAGGCTCACTGATTTCAGGTTTCAATCTGGGGCTCATTTGTAAATTTTGCATTTCAGCTCATTTAAGATCAAACAGAATTTGTACTGTACTCGGTACCAATTTCTAGGTTTCAGAACCACCCCCAGTCAGGTGTACTGCTTGAAATGTAACCAGTTGGACTCCTGCAGAAGGAAAAAATGCCCACTGTCTGATTCAGCATCTCCCACTTGTGTCTGACCATCAGCATCTAATTAACTAAGAGCTGTTTAGTCAGAAATAACAGCTAGCAAGTGAAGGAGAATTGTGCCCAGTTCTGTACACTGAAGTAGGAAACTGTACTTTCCACTTCAAGTCAAATATTTGTGACACCCAGGGCTGACTGAAAAAAAAAGTTGAATAAAAGTCTAAACAAGCAATTGGATGAATTAAGTCATTAATTAGCACTGGAGAGGCAGAGCTCAGGTACAATGAAAGACAGCTACAGTGCCTCTCCCTGTTCACAGCCTCCGACTATAAAGATCTTGTTGCTGTTCCTTCAAAGAGCTAAAAAGCAACATGTTTAATGATTAAATACATTTTTCTAGATATAAATCTTTCCTCTTTTGTTACAAACCCTTTAAACCTACACATCAAGCAAATATTTGAAATGTGTAGGTACTTAGTACAAATCGCTACTGCTAGTACTAATTTGTTTTGCAACAAATACAGTGTAGCTTCCTCAGGCTGCACACTGAAGAGTACACATTCATAACTTGAGCTGCAAAAAAATAAAATCAATATTAACTACATGGTTTTGCCATGACGTGATTATCATGAAGGATCTCCACTTTCAACAACCCCCAACACAGCATCTGACAAAGGCCTTCATTCACCCAGCCAGGTCTCAAAGATAGTGGGCACTGCGGAAAGGCCCTGAGCAGGATAACAGTTTTTAAAAAAGATTATTTGAAAAATAAAAGTTTTAAATTAAAAAGATATGTTTGTTTGTTGTGGCGCAAGGGTGGTAACATTCTCCTGCTCAGGAGAATTCTCACCTTAACAGGTGAGATTAACTAGTGCCACAGAGTGTGATGGACACTCCAGTCCCCACCTAGTCCAGCACTACAGACAGTGCTGTGTAACTCACTGCCCCCTCATTTCCGGAGGCAAGCCCAGTCTACTGCGAGCTCATTACAAATGACAGAGGTCTATAAGACCTGCTACGGTAGTGTAAGAAAATATTGTTTGGGTAAAAAACAACTTCTGAAAAATTACACCTCCATTTCTCTGAAGCCAGGTCCTGTGCCTCTTCCTAAAAGAAATATTTTGACATAAAGGGGATCAGGAATTTTTCGGGGGGGTATGTTAAACATACAATTTGTGATCTACAGTATTTTGCACACTCTAATGCTCTCTAATGCATTTCAGTAGTGTTCGAATAGCACAGGGATTCGCACCCTCTGTTATTATTAGTTTTTTTTAACTGCGATAGAATTTGTTACTCCCACTATTAAAACAGCCCCTCCAAACTCACAGCTGCCTCAGGAAAATTGGGTTTAGCTACATTCCAATCCTCAGATAATTGAGTCAATTAATGCGCTCATGTGGTCGAAGTGGCTGTTGGTTTAGAAACAACTGTAAAACCTGTGAGACTGAACTCAAAAGGCGCTTTCTCTGAAAGGAGAACCTTTCCTCCCACAGTCCGAAGACATGCTGGTAGGTTACTTCTGGGAAAAACCGGCCCTGGTTGGAATGTGTGTGCACCCTGCCTTGAGCCCATTGCCTGACAGGCTCCTGCCACTTGGCTAAAGCAGGGGACTCGGTTAGCATGGCGCAGTTCTCCTTTTGCTGTCTTTTAGCAAGCAAACAAAAGGTTGGTTTTTGTCCTGCTATGCCTCAATGCAAATTACGGGAACTTAAAGGTTAGCAATATTAAAATGGTCACTGTCAGATCCATTTCTTCTGGTATTCTAAGGTTTTCATGAAGCGCCAATTTCGTAAATGTGAATGCCTGGCGCCCCCTTGTGGCCACGATTAAGACGCTGCCTTGTTACAGTGGCGGTGCATTTTGGGTCAGATCGCAATAGTGTAAGCGGAGCCGTACTGGCTGCACCGCAAATAGAGAATTAGTTTTCAAAAATCACTAACCTCACCTAACAAGCTAATACGAAAAGACACTACTGCATGTATATATAGCTATCGTCTGATATAAAGAACACCACAAGCAAGACTTAACAACCATGCTTTATTCTGTATGTTGTTCCTTTTTTAAAAAAAATGCTTAATTTGCCTGTCCTCCTTCGATTCCTAACCAGCGCATAAGCAGCACGCCCACGAGGCGTGACGTCATCGCGGCCAGCCCGCACAGTGACGAGAGACACTGCGCAGGAAAACGCACGTCCTTGTGTTGTTTCTATATTCATTTTCTTTTAAATATCATTTATTGTTTTAAACTTCAGAAAGGAAATCCATTGATTGTCAAACACAAAATCTAGTTTAGCACCAGTACAATAAAACTGTACTTTTGCTTGTTAAAATATGCATGGAGAAACACAAAAAAATGAGAAAAAAAAACAAAAACCTTTGAACCAAGGAAAAATTATATATATATATAATGTTTCATTTTTACAGCACCAACCATACAAACCAATCTTATTAAATCATATTACACACACAGAAAAAAGGAAAATATATTAATCATAACAAAGTCTATTAAATTAAGCCAAGGAAACAAACCAAACACTGTAAGTAAATAAAAGTTTCCACCAGACATGGAAGAAGCAATATCATTAGAACAGGAAAAGGATGGGAAGGTCAGAGGTCACCTATCCTTCCCATGATCCTCCAGATTCAGTACGCAGCTCAGAGTTTTGGGCATCTGCAGGAGAACCAACATGTCCTACCGTCCTGCAACGTCTGTCTCCGAAAAGCTCCAAGTCCACCCGTTCACAGACACAGATGCTCTCTTGTTCTGGACTCGCAGGACAGTCACAGCGGCTGAGGGCAGTAAGGAGGGGTGGCCGGGAGAGCCACGCCGGAGGTGCTGCAGGCACAGAGAACCAGCCCAGAGCCGCCGGGTCAGCTGTGCAGCTCCGCCAGGCCACTCCCAGGAATCTGGAACCTTTGCAAGTCACTTCACTTCAAAGAAAGCGTGTGGCCAGGGGTAAGGTGTGGGCATATCTGTGGTTCACCAAAATACTAAATTATTGAAAACGCAGGAGAAACCAGAGCCGACCGCAAAGCCTGACTTGAAGATCACCGAGGTCAAGTTCTTCAGATACAATCGGTTTAGCGGTGGCCAGCAGGTGCCCTGTACTTCAGAAGAACCCGTCCACGCAGTCCAGGCCTCTGATCGTGGGGACAGGTCAGTCTGCGGCCTGCCCAGGCCCACCTGACCGGGCTGGAACCCCGCTTCTTCGCTAACCACTCAGGGCTGCGGGGGACCGAGGACAATCCCCGTCCGAGAACATTCAGTTGAATTCGGAAAAACAAAAATGTAACGTTCACTGGGCTCATATAAAAATTCCACCTGGAGCCCTGAGGTGAAACTAAAAAAAAAAACTTTTTAAAATGTGGTTTTGCGCCTTTGTCTTAAAAGCTCAACCTGAAGAGCTGCAGAGCGACGTTTCTGTCCAGCTGGCCTGTGGCTGCCCCCCTGTCCTGAGCAGGTCAGTCCGGCGCTACAGCTCGGACGGCTCGTCCTTCAGCACCTGGACGGAGGAGCCCAGGAGCTCCTGCAGCTCCGGGACACAGCGCACCAGCTCCAGGCTGCTGTCCCTCAGCTCCTGGGGCGCAGACATGAGCTGGCTGACCGACACCTGGCTGACGAACTCCGCCTGCGGGAGGCTGGCAACCTCCAGGTGAGGGTATCGCGCTCGGAATATCCGCGCGGACATTTTGAGACGCTTCAGGACGTCGGAGAGGAGAAGCCAATTGCAGAAGCTGAAGACACAGAGAGAGAAGCAAGACAGCTGTGAATGGAAGCAAAACTCAGTCTGAAACAATCTTCCAGCTCTAAGGTTGCTGGTTCGTGTCCCACAGACGGCAGAGGAATCCTACTCTGCTGGGCCCCTGAGCAAGGCCCTAAACCCCAGCTGCTCCAGAAGTGCCGTATAAATGGCCAAACCTGCTCTCTGACCCCCAGCTTCTCTCCCTGTCTGTGTGTCTCATGGAGAGCAAGCTGGGGTTTGCGAAAAGACAAATTCCTAATACGAGAAATTGTATCTGGCCAATAAAGAGAGCCTATCTTGTCTCCTTTCTTTCGCCCAGCTCACATCTCTTAGTTCAATGCAGGAAATAATCTCCTAGTTCAGCTCAGTACAGCTCCTTCTGCTTGCTGTTATGTGCTTGAAGGCATGACACCGTAACCATTCATTCGGGCTTTACATTATTTTGCACTGTTCACTGCAGATAAGCTATTGGACAACAGTGTATCCTGATTTGAAAAAAAAAAGATAAAAGCATGAACTTGGGAGTAAAACAGTCTGTAACAGTTTGTCACACACTGGTCAGGACACACAGCTGGACCAGCACACAGCCACTCACCCCTGGGACAGGGTCACTTGGACATGATAGCAGGGCAGAAGAGGCTCTGTGGAAAACTCAAACAGGAAGCAGTCTTCCTTCTCCTCCGCATCCCTGTCTTCCTCCTCCTCCTCAGGGGGGGAGAGCAGGAAGTCCCAGTTCACCTCCTGGTTGGTCTCTGGAGCACACAGACAGACAGATGGCATCTCACAGCCCATCCCAGACTCCTCCTCAGCTACTGCTCCAGGAGGTGAGAGTTTTACTTCTGCTCTACAGGGGCAGCAATGACTGTCGTTCAGACCACGGCCGGTGTTAATCCATACTCTTCCTCTAGTAGTACTGTGTTCGCACAGCTGGTTCACATTAGGATGGACTTAATAAAACAATCAAATATTAAATAATAAAGATAACTTTAATAAAGAACAGAATCTTAATTAACTGGATAATCAAACATAGATAATAAACAAGCAGGTGCTTTTGACTTTTACATGATACTAATCACAATAAGATTCCATGCCAATGAATCAGAAACACCATATGGCACCAGGCCAGACTTGAGCACCAGCGTCATCTTCTGCAGTTCCACTAGGGTGGGGCAGGGAGGGACACTCAAGCAGTATCAGCAGAGCAGCAGCCTGCATGGGAAGATATTCTTCCTAATTCCACTGGCACTTTTATCCAAATCAGCCTCATTTGCACCCATTCACACAGCTGGGAGTTCGACCCTCACCCCTGCTCCACACTGCTGCCTATAACCTCACTTGGCACAAAAAACAGAAGACAGTCATGTCTTACCGAACATAGAGCTGCTGTACAAATCCCAGCAAAGCTTGGCATCGTCCTCGCTGTGACCCTCGAGATCAGCAAAGTACTCTGCGAGAGAGAGGAAGCGATCAGAAAGAGTTCCTGCAGTCATCTGTCTGCTCTGCACTCAACTCGCTGACCTTAGCAAGGCCCCTCACAGCAATGAAAGCAGTTACCATCTGTGGCCAGTTTAACAAATAATTTTTTTCCCCCAATTAATAGTTTCAGAATAAATAACAGTGTCGACGGTGGGGCTCTCCAGCATAGGCCTGTGCTCAGAGTGTGGGCAGAACTCTACAGTCCAAACAACACCGTTCTGAGTCTTTGACCTTCGCAGTGTGGTTTGAGCACCCCTGGGCTCAGGTGGGCTCGGGTCAGACTGATCACCGTGGCTTTGCTGGATACCAGTGCACCTACAGACCTGCAGATGAGAGCTGCATCACCCCTCCAGGGTATGTGAACGCTGCTGTGGAAAGTGTGCATTTTGCAGAGGAACTTGCTCTAGTACAGTGACAACAGCAGCGAGTCGAAGCCCAAAGGCACTGCCCCAGCCCAGTCTGAAAGGCAGAGAGGCAGAGGATCCCCACAGTGGTGGCCAAGCCTGGTCCCCAGAGCCTCCCGGCCCGGGTCTCCTCTGAGACTCGTGCTCTGCTGAGGACATACAGGAGATGGCCTTGTGCTGAAGCAGTCCAGCGTCTGGGAGTGAGCACAGCACACATTACACAGATGGGGGAGGCACGGACAGGTATCTGCTGGTGTCCATGAGCAAAAATGGTCTGTGGAACACAAGGAACTCCCCCACTTTCGACAGCAGGGAGTTGGAGGGGAAAATCCTCGCTGGTCGAAGGGAAAGAATTCAGAGGAGAGTTGCCAGAGGGCATTTTCCAATGCTAAAGAAAGAGGCAGAGGACTGGGGTTCTTGCACAAGAGCTGAGGGCAAACAACAATTAGCTAAACGGCTCCTGTGGACGATCATTCAAGTTTACGAGCAGAACGGGATGAAACCATGAAGACACAGACACAGAGGATCCCCAGACAACGGACTGTTAAAATGCAAACTCAGCTGGAGGCCTCCCAGGGTGCCGGAGGGCTGTCCTTCACTCCTGCAGAGGCCTGAGCCCACTCTTGTCATGTAAATCGCGGACGGTGCACAGAACGATACTCCGTGTAACAAAGGACCAGAGCCTTAACAACACCGCAAGGGCGCCTACCTGTGAGGAAAGCCTTCATGGTGGGGCTGGAGGCCAGCTTGAGCGCGGTCTGGCCGGAGTACGTCGCGAGCGTGGGGTCCGCGCTGTGACCCAGCAGGATTCGCACCACGTTCAGGTGGTCGTTGGCCACCGCGTCATGAATCGGGCTGCGAAAACAGTCGTAATCATCAACACGCACACCTGGGACAGGCACCACACCCTCGCTGTACCGATCTGTGAAACTCAAGACGAGCACTCCAGTTCTCCTGTCGCACAGTGGCAAACTGTGTTATTCTGGGTTCTGCTCCTGACTGGGCAGTGGGTCTGCATGGTCACCCAGATTCCTGTCCTGTGCTCTGGGCCCCTTGTTACTGTGACTCTTACCAGGAACAAGCAGCTCTCTGTTTTGTTTTGCATTTACTTTGTGAGTTATAAAAAAGGTTTATTCCCTGCTGGAAAGAGAAAGAAGGAAACACAATGTTTCGGCTGTGGAGCCTTCTTCAGGTGCTTTTTAGTTTTGTTACGACTAACAACCGCAGCGCTGTCCTGAATCTTTGCCACAAGATCTACAGTGCTGTGGGCGGTGCGGCCCGACCCAGCAGACACACACGACTGGCGCGGCGCAGTGCCCCTCCCGGTGCCTACCGCGTGCCGTCCTGCGCGCTGCAGTTCACGTCCGCCCCGTGCTCCAGCAGCAGCGCGACGATGGCGCCCCAGCCCCGGGCACAGGCCTCGTGCAGCGCCGTGTAGCCCGCGTTGTCACGGTGATTGACCTCGCACACCTCCTTCTCCAGGCAGTACAGCACCACCTCCTGCAGGACGGGAGAGGGGGAGGAATAGAGGGAGGGAGAGGGAGAGAAAGAGGGGTCACAAAAGAAGCAGGAGTGGGACTGGCTCTTGACCACAGCTAAAAACAATACAACCCCTCTCTCGCTTGCATGAGATAAAAATAACTTGAAGAAAACTCAAAGAAAGAAGCTGCGCAGGCATGGAGCTGACCGGCGCTGGACTATGGATGATAACGCTCATGAAAGACCAGTCCAGTGCAGCCAGTGCTTTCGCTGCTCAGCCAACCCCTTCGTTTCAGGCCGCAGCGCAGTGGCAGCCTCTGCATTCAGGTGCTTCTCGTAGTTTCCTGTCAGACTCGTCGGGTCTTAATAACTCCCAACGCTGAGAACTCCAGCAGCCCCGGCCCGCCCCCTCCTCCAGGAGCCCTACCTGGTAGCCCAGGCGCGCCGCCCTCTGCAGCAGAGTCTCCCCGGCGTTCTTGTTGACAATCAGCCTGCGCACCTCGGGGGGGGCGGGTCGGCCGGGGGGGGGCGTCGACTCCGGGCCCCCCCTCCTCCCGGAGCTCCCTCTCCTGCCCGGGGAGGGGGAGGACGCCCCCTTCAGGGTGCAGCCCGTTCCTACCGGCCTCTTCGCGGGGGGACTCTCCGCTGCGGCCAGCAGAGAGGCTGAGCACTTGCCTAAGCTGCCTCGTCTCGTCTTGACCTGTAATGTAAAAACACGGCGTAAGGAACGAGGAAGAGAAACCCGGGGCAACACCGCTTGCGGAAACAAAGACCCGTCCGCATCCTTCTTACAGCCTGTAGTTACCGTTCTCGCCAGAAGAGGGCGATGTAGCTCTACTCTAGTGCAAAGTTTAAAAAAGTCCACCTTTTGGCTGCACAAGAATTCAAGCAGAAAACGCACTATGCGTTACTACAGATTGTCTTGAAAGTAAACTAAAATTAAGTCCCCAGGTCCGTATTAAGAATCAACATGCCAATTGATTTGCCACTGCTTACTGTAAAGGATCACTGAAGTTTGGAACAAACGGCAAATGATTGGGGAAAAAAACATCTATTTTATATTTTTAACGCCAAGCAGCATTTTTTCCTCCCACGCATCTGTGCTTTGTTGCTTCCGTGCGAGAGCTCTCCGGACAGCGTACCTTCCTCTCCTCCTCCGCCTCCACCAGGTGCTTGCTCTTGAACTTGCGCTTCCCCGAGGGCTTGTCGCACGGCTCCGGCTCGCCGGCGGGCTCCGAGCGCCGCAGGGCCCCTGAGCGCGTCGGCAGTGCCCTCCGGAGCGCGGGGTCCGGGCTGGGGCCCCGGCACGGCGGGGGGGCGCAGCGCCGGGGGAGGGAATCTGCAGGGAGACGAGCGCGTTACAGCCCGCACGCTACCCGGGGAGGGGGGAAACACCACGCAACTACAGCCACCCGGGAAGAGGAGGAAATATAACGCGAGCAAAAACGCAGAAATATCAAGTCATCCCTCTTCACCGGCAAGGGCTGCCCCTGAGCCTTTGAAAGCCGGGTTACTGGCATTTTAAGAAATGCTAATGAACTCGAACGTGATAAATGACGCGCGTGTAACTCGGTGGAGATACTCAGCCCCTCTGACGTTAAAAGGCATCTCTGTGAACCAGGTGTCAACACAGCTTTTACACTCCAGGCTGCCTGAATGTTTCCCACCCCGCCTCCAGCCGCTGCCCTGGCAGAGGAGCGGCGCGGCGCGGCGCTAGGGGGCGCTGTGCCGTACCTGCCCCGGCGCGGGCGGCCTGCCGTGTGGTGACGCAGCTCTCCTCGGCCTCCTCCTCCTCGGCCCGGTCCCGCTCCGTGATGTACTCCCCGTTCTGGTACTTCCGGTTGCGGCGCCTCCTGCGCTTCCTCCGGGCGGGGGCCTCCGGCTCGCCGGGCGGCGCCGCGCCCCACCCGCCGGGCTCTGGCTGCGGACGGGAGCGCGAGCGCGGGCGGCCCCTGGGCCGGTGGAGGGGTGGGGGCGGGGAGCAGCTCCAGTCGTCCCGGGGAGCCCCCCCTACTCGCCGCCGCCCCCGTCTCAGTTTGGGGGTGCTCTCTGCGGGGCCCCCCTCCCTACTCATCCAGGCGGGGCTCCTCGGCAGGGAGACGGGCACCTCGCTGCTCCTGGGGCACGGGAACGAGCGGCCCAGGCCATCTGTGTGACACAGGAGTGTCAGTTTCCACACTGCGCTCACACTCAGGACAGGTACGGCCACCTTCCACCGGGGAGATGAGCTGCGAGCAGATATATGACCCTCCTGGCAGAACAGCCTCTTGTAGGCAGCAGCGCTACCTGAATGGCTTAAGCCAGGTCCCCTCGGGGCTGGCTCTTCACCGCCTCCAGGGTCACCCGGTCAGGAGTGACTCCCTGGGCGCCCCCCTGAGCCTGTGCCCCCAGTCAGGCAGCCGTGAGCTACACCACCGTCAGTGAGAGCGCCGGTCAAGAGCTCAGCCACCTCCGCTGGCACAGGGGCCGGCCGAGCGGCTAGACCACCCGAGAATCCAAATCGACGGGTGTCAAACAGAACTCGTAATAAAACAATCTACAAGTCCCTTCCCGCAGCCTGTAAATGATAAATCTCTTGCAGTAAATGACACACTTGCCCAAATGAAGCATCTACTTAAAACATCGGGATTTTCCAGCAGACAGAGGTGACCCAGGTGGCTTAGCGTGAACCAGCACTGGGCATACAGCAGTCACCTGCGCCAGTCCTCACAGGCTCCCTGGCTCTCCTTAAAGAGCAGCCAGAACAGAAACAGACGTCAGCACAGAGCCCGAGGTGCACCCAGACGCTGGCCCTGCCATGCTCACCTGCTGCACCGGGAGCAGCCGCGCTCCTGTGTGCCAGACTCCCTCTCCTCCTGCGCTTCCTGCCCAGCCCCTCGCTCTGTGGGCACGAGGGCACCTCAGGCGGGCTCTCCTGGGGCACAGCTGCCCACCGCTTCCTCTTCTGCAACACAAAAACTCCTCCGTCAGCCCCCGACAGCTGGGACACCTGCCCCCCCACTTCCCCACTGGAGAGCTCGCCTGGTGTGTGTGATGGGAGCGCACTCTCTACGCAGCTGGGCCAACCCGTCCCCCTGTCTCTAACCACTGATCCAGTTCAGGGTCATGGGGGGAGCCCGGGCCTATCCAGGCCAGCAACAGGCACAAGGCAGGCTACACCCCGGGCAGAACGCCAGGCCACCACAGGGCAAACACAGGCACAGACGATGCCAGGTCACCTGAGCACCCAGAGGAAGCCCAGGGAGAACGTGCAAACTCCACACAGTTGGCACCCCAGGCATTGAGCCCGGGGTCCCAATGCCGTTGGGGGGCAGTGCTAACCACAGTGCTACCGTGTCACCCCTAGGTGGCAATATATATCTTAATATGAAAATAGCCCTTTATTTTCTTTTAAGATCTAAAAATAAATACAATAAATAAAAATGTTGTTTGTTGCATTTCAAAGTTGTACTTTTTTTCAAAATCCTTTTCTAATCCCCAAAGTGTTACATAAAAATGAGGAATTAAATACTTGATGAGTATTTGCCTCCATATCAACATGATCACTATTAGGGTATCACGATTTTACAGAACTCTCCTCATTTTAATTGATACGGTAATTGCTTTTTAATTACCTCAAAAGATCATTATGTGCCACACTCGTAATGTGAAGCACTATGCTATGAATACAGAGGAAAAGCCGGACAAACTCTAAGATGCCAACGCTGTCTTTCAGGCAATGGTTACTATTCCAGTTTGGTTCTGCCTTCCTCCAAAAAGGCAAGGAAATGGAGCTCTGGAAAACTACCGCACAGAGGGGACAATAAAACACAAATCGGCTCGAGAGCCGCAATACCTTCTTCGGCCGATGGTCCTCATCTGCCACCGCGCTGTCCGTCTCCTGCTTCTTGGCAGACTTCTCCGTCCTTCTCCCGGGACCTGGGGACGGCAGCTCCTGGGTCCTCCTGGACTGGCCGCCCCGGTCCTTGCCTCCGGAGGGAGCCTGCCGTGCCTCCGGGGCGCCGTTCCGTTTCCTCTCCCGGCCGGCCCCGGCGGCGCGCTGGCCCTTGAGCATGGACAGGGTGATGCCCTCCAGCTTCACGCAGGGCGAGAGGTGCTCCACCTTCCTCTCCTCCTGCGCTCCCGCAGTCTCCCCTGGGCCCCGGTGTCTCGGGGCAGGGCTCTCGCCATCGCACTGCGCTTCCTCGGGGGCCTTGCTCGCCACCTCCAGGTCAGCAGCTTGTTTCCCGTCTTGCTGGCAGGCAGGCCTGTCCGAGCTGGCGTTCTCCAGCCTCTTTGCCGTTTTGGAGGGGGGGCTCTCCGCCACGCTTGGCTCTTTAGAGGCAGCTTCCTGGCCCCCAGCCTGCAAAGGGACTGCTTCCGTTTCCCTGGTGTCAGCAGTGGCCAGATCACAGGCGGCTTCACAGGCCCGCGAGGACGTCTCCAGAGCTGTGTGCTTCACTATGTACTCCAGGTTGGACAACGGCGATTTGGCTTTGTCCCACTTCTCCTCTTCTCCCTTGGGTGGGCTCTGGTGAAGGAGACCGCCCTCGCTGACCCCCCCCGCCCTCACATGGGGGCTCTCCTGCATGGATTTCTCCGGCACGGATACACCAGAGCAGGGAAGTAAGCTCGGCAGGTGCAACAGAGGTGTGTCGGCTGGCCGAGAGATGGTGTTTCCACCGTTTATCTGGCAGGGAGCCAGGAGATTAGCAGAAACAGACAGAGTTATGGGTAACATGTTGGTCTTGAGTGGCAGGCACTGTTGCCTGCCTCCCGGGAGGCTACTGTTAGGGTGCTTGTTCGTCTGGGCTTGGTGGATGTCTTTCGTCTTGGGTGTTGCCTTCTTTCCCTTAGAAAGCAGCTGATCGCCTTGGTCAATGATGGAGATGGTTTCCTGCTTGGCGATGTTCTGAGGGTCGTCCACAAAAGCTGCGTCTTTGCTGCGCAAGGTGGCCGCCAGGACTGGACTGGCCACGCCCACGTACGTCCCGGGCAGGCTGCTGAGGGAGCCCTGCGCGGAGCTCTTAGCCCACGGCGCAGAGGCTTCTGGGACCTGGGAGTTCAAAAGCCCAACGGGCTTCTTTGCAAGAGCGGCACCGTTTCTCAGGACGTCTGGGAAGATGGGGTAAGGAGAAGCAGGCCCGAAGCTCACAGCCTGGGCTGGCAGTGGACACTTCAGCGACGCCAGCTCATTCTGCCCCGATTCCACTAGGGGGAGCTCCCTCATCGGCGAGTTTCTGCTTAGATCCATTGTGGTTTTCTGACGCTTGGACTTCGTGGACAAATCCAGGGGCACGTCTCTGTCTTCGGGAGAGGGGGCCAGAGACAGCTCTTCCAGGGCCATCGGGGGGGACTTTAAGCGAGCGTACGCCAAGGGGGGCTTGTCGGCGTAGGGGTGGGGGGTGCTGCTCTCCAAGCGGCCCAGCAGCCTGCTGTGTGCGGCCGTGTGGCTCAGAGGCAGGGAGCCGGTGGGGCTGTAGCAGACGGGAGGGTGAGGAGAGAGTGACAGAGCCGGCTGCTTCAGCGGGAGAGCGAGCGGGGCCGAAGACGCCGAGTCCGGGCCGGAACACAGCTCCGGTCCCGCCGTGGAAAGCTTGGTGCTCGACTTCTGCGCGGCGGAAGGGGATCTGGGCTCGGGCGTGAGGGTCCTGCCCAGGGGGAAATGGTAAGGGAGGGCCCGCAGGGGGGGGGTCAGGCCGGAACCTGAGCTCTGCAGCTGACATTCCGGTGCGAACTGGGCGACGAGGGGGTCTCTCAAAGCCGCCAGGGGGGCCGTGCTTGTGGGCAGAGTTATCTTGCACACGGGCGTGGGGGGCACGAAGGCCACGGTGTGCGGGGGACTGAAGAGAGGGGCGCCCTGGAAGCCCAGGGGCAGCGTGACCAGCGGCGGGGCCGCTCGGCCAGCGCCGGAGCCCAGACACACGTCCCCGCTCTCCATCTTTCTCACAGGCCACAGCTGCGCAGGAGAGACGGGGCCCCCGGCGCCGCTGCCCGGGGGGGGCTGTGTCTGCGGGGGTGCTCTCGAGGAGACGTCCGCGCCCCTGGGCTCGGCAGCCGGGCCCGGCTGTGACTGCTGGCCGAGGGGAACATCGGCTTGGAGCTCGGGGGGCAGCGCTGGCGGCGGGGGCTGCCCGACCATCCTCTCCGGAGACCTGCTCGAAGCGCTGACCTCTGCGTTCATCTGGGTGGCATCCACCTGGACAACAGAAACCAGCACATGGAAAACTTCGGCCTGGAGCTCTTTCGCCAGGGACTGCTTCAGCGCAAGCCCTGCTGTGTGACTGAGAACTCTCCAGGTCATCACTGCCAGCAAGACTTCGTTCTCTATAGACTTACCTGGGTACAAAATGTAGGGCACAAAATCCAAACATCTGGCTGTTTGTGACCACGAATACCCGCTTCACGTCACTCTTCACTCGCACAGCTCCATCTCATATCACTAAACCTTACGCACTCACCAAGGTCTTTTTGACCCTTGCAGTATACGGTGAATATGCTTTTGTTATAACCAACTGAGACTGATGCAGTCAGCTAACAATGCAGAATAAGAATACAGAGGCATTTTTAAAGGAATCCTTGGATGCTTCCCTTTAAATAGGGGGAATTTGTCTGTCTTTGCCTTGACAAATGTAACATTTTGGGATTATAAATGTGGGCCCAAAAGCTGTTTCTGCTGGTTCAGGATGCAGGTTCGAACTCTCAGTGTAATGCAAGTAGCGAGCAATAACAAAGCATATTAAGAACTCGAATTTCGTCTCACACACGGACATTTCGACCATCTGACTGAAACCCCCCTCAGCTGTTCCCCCAGCGGAAGCCGGTGTTACCTGCACGACGCTGCCGCTAGTGCAGCATTCCTTCGGCGCCGCAGGCTGTGTGCCGGCCCGGGCCGGCTCCTCTTCGGGGTACGGCGCTCTCCTGGCAAACACAGGGGACACACTGAGGCTGCTGACGAGCGCACAGCTGGGGACCCCGCACTGTGGACCTCCCGCGTGACCCCGAAACCACAGCTATTCACACCTGAGTGGTTTTAACCACTAGGTCTCCTGGCAGCCATTGTCAGGCTATTCATGAATCGGCCCCCGCAGGGGCGTGCCCACTAGCGATACTGTGAGCTGCTTCCGTTTCAAAAGGCCAAAACAAAGATTCCAGGGGGCTTGAAACAAAACAAAAGAACCACAGATCACAGTGAAACTCTTATTCCTCTTGAAACTTTCACTACCGGCAATCCTAAATTCTCCGCAAGCCGGCACTGATGAGCCTGATGCAGGACCCTGAGGCCGTATCCAGGCTTGGGCTCAGCTGCACTAATTGAGACACTTTCGCCATTAAAAAAACTTTAGGAAATACTCAGCCTCTGAGTATAGATTTTTTACAGGGAATAATTGGAGAAGGACCTGCACCAGGATCGTTACATGAGGTAACATTTCTGCATCACACTATAAATGACAAATTTCAGCACATATCCATCTGTATATATAAATACATGTCCTCCCCCAACAGGCAGAAATTGATGAAGGGCCATTTCTCACTCTGCGCCCTCAGGCCCCTGTAACGCGTTGTGGCTAAAAATGATTCCAAGCCTAACCTAATCATTCACAGTTGTGATCAAGTTATGCTGCTCGGATCATGCTGGGCTTTCTTTTCCCCCCTTTTTTTATCAATTAGCAGCCATTCACACTGTTGTTGCAAGGTGAGGGGGCCTCATTTTTCAGTCAACGACCTCCAGAGAAACAGAATATGCGCAAGACGGCTCCAACAGGAGGGGTGACAAAACACACAACTGTGGCGGCTACAGTTGTGGGACTAAATGCCCAGCAACCCATTAGGCAGGAGGGTCCTGCAACAGCATGCATTTAAAAGCCTCAGGGAACCCTGCCCTGCTCTGCGCTGAGACAACAATCTGGTAAATACCATCACAGCGCTAATCCAATAGAGCAACAAAGCTGCAACATCACAATGCTCTTGTGGAATCTTGCAATAAACTTCCTATTGATTCCTTATGCTGTAAAACAACGAGGGCCTTTTCCCTCAAGAGCTTAACCTCGTGAGCTGCCTACCAGGGATGTCCTGTCTCCTGTCGCGGACAGCACTCAAATCGAAGATTCCTACAACAGACGCAGTCTTTCCCTGCTCCAGCTCTCAGCTCGCATCAGGAGACGCGATGGACAGGCCTTCAGAGACACCGCTGTGCTGTGCATGCAAGAGGCCGCCCTGAATGTCCTCCTGCTGAAAAAGCAGCACGGGGGGGCAGACAGACAGGCCTCGCGGGCGACGGCGGCGCTCACCGGTCCTCGTTGATACCGCACATGCGGATCCGGTCGGCGCTGACCCAGCCGTGCACGCTGCTGCAGAGCGGAGGGGCCGACACCATCGCAGGCGGGACGGGCTCGCTCCAGGCTTCGGCGCCGCGCACTCCGACGGGCCCCAGGCTGCACCAGCACCTCCTGCGCAGGAAGGACACGAGTGAGCGTCTCCGGACCAGTGACACAGCTTCTCACCGCTGTCCACAGACACACTGAACACACTAACAGGCCTGGACACACTGGACACACTGACAGGCCTGGACACGCTGGACAGGCTGAACACATTGACAGGCCTGGACACGCTGAACACAATGACAGGCCTGGACACGCTGACAGGCCTGGACACACTGAACACACTGACAGGCCCGGACACACTGAACACACTGACAGGCCCGGACACACTGAACACACTGACAGGCCCGAACACAATGACAGGCCTGGACACACTGAACACACTGACAGGCC